GTGAAAATACACTCACAGCGCTGGCAACTCGGCATAACTGCGAGTTAATACAGTTTGTTTTGCCTATTTAATAGCAGTAAATTAGATTTGGATTTCACGTTTTTAGATACTTTTGATTGGTGTTGTATTTGAATGCGATATAGTAAAAGTTTAGTTCTTACCAACCATTACTTATTTTTAAAGTTTATTATAATCGTTTTCAATCATTAATATAATTTTCTCAATTCAACAGAACGCAAGCGGGGCCGCCAAACATATACCCGTTACCAAACTTTGGAGCTGGAGAAAGAGTTTCATTTCAATCGATATCTGACAAGACGACGGCGCATCGAGATCGCACATGCGCTGTGTCTCACGGAGCGCCAGATAAAGATCTGGTTCCAGAACCGACGAATGAAGTGGAAAAAGGAGAATAAAACGAAGGGAGAACCTGGCTCCGGCGGCGAGGGTGATGAGATCACACCGCCGAACAGTCCGCAATAAGACGCTGATGAAAAAGATGCTGACGAGTCACGCTTCATCCGGTTCCAAAGAGGGACATGAAAGTATGTTAACAACGCAGTCGTCATTAAGCGAAAGGACATCCAGAAAAATTGTCCTTTTTAGATTTTTGAATGCATGCACTAGTACGAATATGACATTTTTCAGAAAGTGCTGAAGTTCACTTTTTAGCGAAACTATGAAGAACTTATCCCGTGCTGCAGTTGGGGTGTAACGTTAGTTACTTATTTTGTTGGACACATACATATGCATATGCATATGTACGTACGTCGTATATATATTAATTCTATACATTATACGTTAAAAATTATAAATTGGTCTTGATTAAAGCTTATGCAATATTAAACTAATTCTGTTTATTTTCTGCAGACTTGTATAACTTTCTTAGTTAAATCTTTAAAGGAAATATTATTATTTTATTTTATTGGGATCAGTAATAATTCGTAATTGACACGAAATCTTATTTTAATACCAGTACTAAGCAGGCAGGCGGGAAAGGTGGAAGCGTTATTGGTTGGAGCAATAGTTACATAAACTAAATAAATTAAACTGTAAATGAGTAAATAAATTAAAGTAAAGTAAAGTAACTAAATGAATAAACTCAACAAAACCAACTCATGTGACCTCAAATTTGAATAAGTTATTGAAAATAAACTAAATAATATACAAATACGTACGCAAACAATAATATATATATATAATAACATTTAAAGTAAATATTACAGTACACTAATATACCACATAGAAGCACAGAAAATACGAAATAATGAAGGAACAAAAAAAATGCAAAAACACAAACTAAATTAATTATATAAATGATGTATGTATGTAAAGCATAATAAGTTATTATTTTCTAAGAATAAGATATTTATCACTACACACACATACATAACTAAAACAACAAAAAGAAATATTAAAAGCCTAAAAATGTTAAGCCAATTCTTGAAAGCCTAGGAATTGAAGAGAAGAAATCAGAATATAGGGAAGGGCACTTCTAGGCTTTGCAAAGAGCAGTTTTCATTTTCCTTAAAATGGTGCAAACGCAGTAAATACAAATTTGAATCGCAAATAAAGTATGTATGTGACTACAGACTTATAAGCAACTCGTGCTAACAGAATGCCTACTAATTTACAACTAAATACATACATAAGTAACGTTTGTTCGAAGAACATAAATAAGAAATACTGGTTTACATAAAAATTTTATTATTGAAATTGTTTAAATATTGGATAGAGCGTTGGTCCTGAATAATTTTTCTACCTTTCAGATATTTTAGTTGGGAATACCTTCTGGGTTTAAAAATTTTGCAAAAAAATATTTGTATGAGTACCGATGAGCTTTGATTAATCGTTTTTTTTTATTAAATTTTAAATGAAGGTCAACACGATTATGTAGACTATTAATTTTAGTTCCTCGACTTGGTTATTTTATAACTATGCTTATTCCATCTTACACACATATATACAAAATAGAAATCATGATTTTTCAAAAAAGTGGAGCATGATTGATAATCTGCTTTTGTTATCTGGCACACTGCGTTGCACCGCACCTATGTATAACTGGTAATTGTAAATTTATTTGTCTATAATAATTTGCATATGTACGTAAAAAACTGTATTAATTCAAAACTATACATACATATGTATGTAAAATATAATATGTAAAGAAAGCTACACCAAATTAATATTGAAGTTAATTTTAGCAAGAAAAGTCTTATAACTAGTTTGATGGCGAAGAGTATGTAAAAGTATTTATTGAAGCAGCAAAAATAACAATAAACGTAAAATAAAATTTCAATTGGGAAAGTTTTTCTTCAATTACATTTCTTGAAAGTAAAAGCCACATAGAATGGAAGACAACAAAAAGGAACACCTTCGATGTTTTTGTAGACATATTTTAAGATTCAATTAAGAGAGGATATCATGTATACCAAAATTAAAAACTAAACCGTAAAACATACACAAATTAAATTGGCACATGCATAAAAATCGTAAATATCGAGCCGACTTGATAGTTTTTGTAGAAGCTTACTATCAAGGTTATACATACATATGTACATATGTATGTATGTATGTAAATTTATTTCTAGAGCTGAAAATGAGCGTGCAACATGTTTGTTTTGGATTTTTTGATGGCGAAACATTTTCAAATTATCAGGTACACTTGTAAATTGAATAAGAACCGTTCAAGTTGTCAAAATTTGGCACCGTTGTGAATTAGTAAAATTGATAACTATAACTTTACATAAAAGATATTTACACATACATATATGTACATATGCATGGAAATGCCTACATACTTAGATATTAGCTACTCATATATACGTACACACATGCATATATGTAGATGCAATGGTATGCATGTGCATAAATACGCAGATTAAGCAGCTGTAAATGACAGTCATGTGTTGAATATAAAAACCACTGAGCAAAATCCTAATGGTTAGCTTTGAACTGTCAGAACATACAATATTGTGAAAAAATTTAAATTAAAACTTGTTTCGTGGCCACTCTAAATTCTAAATTATTTGTAATTAGCCTCATTGCGAGTGTCGATTACAGCCGCTTTTCGAGACTGGAGTCGTATTGAAAATTATCACCGCTGCTGTCGACCTGTAGTAGATAAACGACTATTATTCGATTATCGCATGGTATTGTGAATTTCGATTTCCCGTTTAATAAGCGACTGTGAACAGTTTTTAGTCGTTCATCTTTCTAAAACTACTTGTTTGTAGAAGGATAAGCGGCTAAAAACAATTCACACACTTACTGAAAGAGAAAACGACAATGCAGATGTTGCCGAGTCGTACAATTTTGTCTAAATAATTTACTACTTACGCGATGGTGCTGAATGGTAAAAGCAAACAAAGAACTTAGCTTAATACTTTGTTTCAAGAAAATTTTGTTAATTATACTTCTTATTTGGCACTGCAACCCTTTGTCGGTTTTGGTCGAGACCAGAAAAGGTCGCCAATTGTCTCTCTTCTTTGCGACGCCAGTTGTTCATCCCGAGTGCAGACAGGTTCTTCTGCACTTGGTCCTTCCATTTTGTTCGTGAGCGACCTTACTTTCACTAGAGCGTCGTTCATTATTCTTACTAATAGCTGAAAGCAATAATTCGCATGGTTTTACACTGGCTTGAAAATTCTTCAGAATGAAAAATCTCTAAACAAAATAACTTTATAGCAGATAAATTTAAATACATTCAGGGTCGTTGGCTGATTTACAGAAGCTTTTAGTTTTCAGTTCGTCGCTTTCACAATTATCGGTTAGGTAATGAGTAAGAGCAGTCAATATTCGAGGAACTTTTTAGTGGTCCTAATATTTTACACATGACTGTAATTTATTAAATATTTTACGAAGAACTAAAAATAATAAGAAATAAACCAAAGCCAAAGTCAGTTTAGAAGCAGAAGTAAATAGATATATAGTATTTTAAGTGTTTTGAAAGTCTATTTGAAACGGCATGTATGTTCAATAGGTAAAGCATATTTATACATACATACATACATATATACATAAAAAGTACGAACATTTTCTCTTTTAGTACCATTGCAGCTTATCCTTTGTATGTATGCGCGCATCTAACTAGAGTTTGACCTAATTCAAGTTTTTTCATAAGTTGGGGGTTCAATACTTTTTTAAAACATCATTGGATTGAGCGACGTGAATGAAATACTATGTACATACATATATATGTAGAGACATATATATTGTACATGGTACTAATATACATACTTATCAAAACACGTAATTCGAGCTATAAAATTTGTTTATAGCCAAATAAATAGTTTGATTGAAAAGCGTGAATTGTGATCATAAAATTTTGCATGCATTTGTTTGTAATTTCCACTGAAAATACAAAAATTGGTATAACCAATTTCCATATTTCAAAATATTCACATCTAAAAAATCTCCCACTTAAATAGCTTCCGACTTGTTTCTCATTGATGTTTGTAAATTATAACAGAATGAAATTTGAAGAACAAAAGTGCACTAAACCAAATTATTCATCCAAATGTACGTAAAAGTTGGGCCTCAGCCTTAAGAGAAAAAGAAAATAATTTGTATTTATAGCAACGTGCATATACTGTAATATGCAAAAACGCAAGCAAAATTAATTTACTATACACTCTATATTTATAAAGCTAAATGTGAAATCGAAACAAACTAAATTAATTACATACGTATATTAAAAAGGGAAAATAAAACAAAAAGATAAAAGGTTATTAAAGTGTGAAAGTCATCAAATATTTGTTGTAAATAAATAAATAAAAAATATTATTTTTAGTGTAAACTGGAGGAGAACAAGCAAACAAGCACCCGAAAATTTAAAACTGAGATTTTGTTTTTATTTATAAAATTTATAATAAAATAGTATTTACATATTTAAAGAAATAATTATTGCTATATATTATTAGTTTACTTCAACTGGTTGTATGGCGAAAATGAATAAGGTGTGTACCTATGTACCTACATCTACTTACATATTTTACTTGGTGTCAATGAGGAAAGAATATTGTTACCGATCCATACTCAGCGCGACTTTCCTAATTGCATTTAATCGCAGTTAGAATCGCTCCGAATGGGGCCCGAAATTGACTCAAGACTTTAACTAGTCAATTCTCAGTGTCACTTGTAGGTGACACTTCTTAAAAACTTTTTTTAGCTTAAGGAAAACGATTTCTTCCATTTTACCACTGTTCCCAACAAGTTAACAAATCAATGAAAAGTACAAAATTTTCTTGAATTGTAGTTGCAAGTCAACTGTGAAACTTTTTACTTTTATCGCAAGCTTTTGTGGAATTCGTCGCTTTAGAGTATTTTTTTATATCAAAAGTTCGGCTAATGATGCCAAAATCGTAAATGTGATGTCTTAATGGTAAATACAGTTGGCAAAACAAGATACGGATATATTGTAGATGAATTTATGTATCAAAATAATAGTTGGTCTACGTAGAATAACAATGCAAATAGTTATGGTCGGGGGCAGGGGCGCACCCAGGAAAATATTTTGGGAGGGGTTTATACTTCTGAAAGTTCGTTTCAGATAATATGCTCTTTAAGGTACATTTATGCAAGTTTTTTCGTAAATTGCACTTTATTTACATAAAATTAGCAAAGAACTCAAACATTTGTAACCGACTTCGAAAAAGGGAGAGGTTGTCAATTCGTCGGAATATTTTTTTTCTTTTTATGTATGCTACCGCATAACTTTGAACCACGTGAACCAATCTCAACAATTTTTCTTTTAATGGGAAAGATGGTACCTCAAGGGTCGTCCCGTAATTTGAAAATTACTTGTTTAATATAAAGTTCTATAAACACAAGATGCGCTTAACTTTCAAAAGTAATAAAAAAATTTAAAAATTGTTTTAATTTTCATTTTCCTCAATTTCTGGTTTATGGGTTTCGATTGATGTGGTGATTTTTGGGAAATATTAAATGGACTTTCATTTTTATTATTTAGGTAATTTTGGTGGAACGAATTTGAAGTTGGTAAATTAAATCTTCGAATCCTTGTTAAGTACATATCAGTGGTAAACTCTTTTGGCTGTAAGTTGTAAAAAACAACAGTGAGTATGCGTTGCATATTTTTAGGACAATGGTTTCATTCGAAGTTAAATTTTTAAGAGCTCGCAATAAAAACGAAAAATTCATATAAAATTACGCAGAAGAAATGGAATAGAAATTTTCTTCTATCAAAATTTCTTAAATAAGTGTGCATCTCCCAAGAAAAAATGCTCGTATATTTATTTCTTCAAGAACATTTACAGCAAAAGCAAAGTGCTATTAAATAAAAAATATTTCTTGTTATTTTGCT